CGTTGGTAATCATCTAACCTTGAAACCTATCTATAACCACAGCTTAAAAGCAACATTCTTTTGCCTAAGCAAATACCAAAGGCTTACCCCTTATCCTCCTTATAAGCGGAATGCAAACCGTCTATCGCGGCTTTGCAAAGCAACTTATAATGTCACAGCCTAACCCCCATACTCTCCTGAATGTGAGATAAAATCACATCCTTGTTCTAATAAGAACTCCATCCGATTCCCAAACTCCTAAAGAGTAGTTCTCAATTAACTCTTTAAGACATGATACGAAAATTCATCCATCTGTAGATTGGTTCACACTAACGCTACCAGTATCTTTCACTATACTGCGGGTGAATGAGAGCACCCTCGTGCGATCCTTCATCTTCAAGCTTCAATATCCCCTTTCTTGGAGATGCTGATATCTCCCCCCTGAGGATCCTCTTCAGAATCCTACTCTTCGCTTGTCTCCCTTTTTGAAAACAACCGAAGTTGTGTTGGCCCCGTTATGCGATAACCTAACAACTACACCTTAATTCGTTCTTGGCATACACTTTCTAAGTAATGCCAACCTCAAAACTACATTCGATCCCAAGTTCTGCTTCTGGCAAAGAACTCGACAACATACTCCTTTACGCCTTTGAATCTGTATCGCTTTCGCCGTGAACCCCATCCTCCTCCTAGTGTCAACCATTCTGTTTCTACATAATCAATTGACATTAACTCCTCCTAACAAACCATAAATAAAGTACAATGAATCCTAATATAGCTCTAAGTTTTTAAGAGATGCAACGCGGAAGTCTTATAACGAAAACACTCTTAAGGACACTAGAACCTGGAGTGCTCTGATACCAACTGTGATACCCCCGGATTTCTAGATGCGGGTTGGCTAGGCCACACCCGATTACCCGAGAATATCAAACCAAGTAGCAAGAAACGAACACAGAATACAATTAAGGAAACAAGAATAAATAAAACTGCTGAAAAGAAACTAAAATAATAATCCAAAACTGAAAGCCTCATAATAAAATTTCATAAATAAAGTATTAATCTGATACATCCAACTTTTTCAATTCTAATACAACTCGGGAATCCATCTGGTGGACCCCTAATCAAAACAAATACTGGAAAGCGAACAACTGAAAAGAAGTCCACTGCTAAACCATGAAGAAACCTCCTACATCGTCGGTAGAATGAGTAGTCGTCTCTGCTCAGCACGAACCAGCTCTAAGACCTAGAACCGTCCGTTACCTTAAAAATAATAGTGGGTCAGGCCCACGAACAAGTTCTATCCTAACTACAATCCAAACAAAGACCCGATACGCAAATACATCCTAGATGTCTTAACCATATCTATATAGTCCGTAATAGATAAATATATATCCACACTACAGGACTCTCACTAAACTATGCTGAGGGTCTTAACCTGAATAGAAGGCAACATGCAATACGCACCTGAGTGGGCATGACTACCTAAGCCTAACAGGGTATACCTCAACCAACATAGCTAGCTACGCATCCTACTACATATACGCACCATAACCGTCGACTATGAGACTTAAGCTCAGATTACGGTACGATAATTTATATATATAAATTCTCATCCAAACCAATGTAGTGCCACTCAACTGTTCATCGCTTGAGACACAATATTTAATCGGGATTTAAATGTTTTAATTAAATCCCTATCTTTCCTAATACAGAAATATAAACAACTATCCAGTATGTCGTTCAACTATTTTAGTTGACAGGACATGAAACCATGTAGGATTTAACTGTTTTAGTTAATCCATTCCATATGTATGAATGGGTAGGAATTAGTGTTGTGACCTAATCCGTCCCTCCGTATGACATCGTCCCATACCGGTGCATACATGCAAATGATCCGTAAATAATGCAACATTTTATACTGTACACCAAATAAAGTCCACATTATCCATATAGTTGATAAACACAACATTTGAAACAAGTCATCAACTAAAAATCCAGAATCCATCCATGTAATTAAATGAGACAAAGTTTACTAATTCATCAAGTTAAATTCCAGCATCCATCTAGGTAATTGACAGAAAATATATATTTAATTCTTTAATTAATTCCAAGCCAACATCTAATTAGATTGACAATTAGGTTCTGTCAATCTAATGCCAAACCCTAATCCAAGTAATTGCAGTGTAATGCTTAATATTATAACAATTAAAATTCCAAGCTTAAATCCATGCATTGCAAAAAGGATTTTAGCATTTCAACCATTAATATCCAATTATGCACAGACCAAACTTCTTAATTAAATAATCCTAGTGTGCAACCAAAACAAGATTTAAAAATATAAACATATTTCGTTAAATTGCTAAAATTAAATTAGGCAATTGAACTCCTTCCATCCGTTAACCACCTGTACCGTGGTACACTTTCCTACGGTTAAATCCATGAGTACTAAGACCTTAATTTATTAAAAGTGGCTCTAATACATCATGATATAATGTTTGGAATCCATGTTCCAACCCTTCTTGGTTGCTAGACACAGTTTGCACCATTACATCCTTCCGGCCCGTTAAGTCCGTAACCTGCCTCCGGCTTACTTTAGATTTTCCTATGGTTTACAACATTAGTACATAGATAGATTAATGCATCCTAGGCCCTTAATACTCCATGACTTAAGGTTTAAAACCATCACAGTAACCCAAACACAGTTGAAAACGACCCAATTTGAACCAACAGTGCGTAATTAAACTTTTGTGATGCACAAAACCACAGAGCCTTCTCTAAAAAAAACTGGAGAAGGCACTAAGCTACCTAGAGACGTCTCCAACTAAGGGAGAGCCTTCTCTAAGTGGATTGAGCCTTCTCTAAGTTTTCAAGAGCCTTTTCTAAGTTTTTTAAGCTTCTGTAACACACGCTGTAACACCCAAAACCACAGAGCCTGCTCTAAAATCCTGGAGCAGGCTCAAATCAGCCACAGAGCCTGCTCTAAAATCCTGGAGCAGGCTCAAATCAGCTTAGAGCCGGCTCTCCCATAAGGGGGAGTCAGCTTTCCTTGCCTAGAGCAGGCTCTCTCCATGGGGAGCCAGCTCTCTCTCCTTTAAGAGCCTTGGTTTGTTTCTTCATCGTTTCCGATGATCTGCTCCATCTTCAACCCTTTCCTACCCCTCTGTTGCTTCTTAAACTTGGTCTTAAGAGTCCTAGAAACATCCAATAACATCCCTATGACTTGCTCACAATAGTTCAATTCAATTACAGTGATTAAAGTCGTTACTGATTTAACATGCTTTTAACGCAAACTAAAACACAGAGATACAAGAACTATAACAGAACTATTCCATGCATACAGATATATATATATATATATAAATAAGGAGTTATGTTTGGAATAAACAAAATTTCTTATTTGTAATTATCATATCATAACAAAGAAGGAAGGGGGCCAACAAATTGATATAAAACAGGGAAAGGTGGGAACACGTGGCGGCTGCAAAGGTTAAAAATCCTAATATAGAGGATACATTGGTGTAGTTATAATACGTGGTGTGTGTGTGTGTGTGTGTATTCAGGTACAAAGCAAATACAACATCAACAAGGGAAAAAGAATATGCAAGCAAAACATGGGACATGTGGCAGAACTAGATGAAGTCTGGAAGAGAGCAGGAAGATCGTGGGTTTGGCAGTTAATCTTCCACAGTGCATGTAGCGAAACATGGGACACTTGTCTACAAGGATGATAGGAGTTAGTTTTTACATTGTGGGTGTTTTTTTTTGTAAAGGTTACACATGACTATAAATAGAACACATGACTACATGTAAACGTCTCTCCACGACATCAAATAAATTTCAATATATTATATTTCAATTCCTATAATTTCAATACACGTACTTTATTTTCATGCGCTTATTTTTTTAATATTGGAATTAATTTAATTCTCTAGTTTAACATTGTAGTTCTATCAAAGTCATTTCATCAAAGGCAAATCATAATCCTTCACAATCGCATGATCGTTCCAAAAGGATTTCTCTTTGTTTGACCTTCTCTGAATCTTCTGAGATTTCGACACGCCTGCAGACTTCTAATGTCCAATTTTGTGCAAAAAAAAGAATATGCACACAAAAGGTCGAGAGATTTTCTTCACTCATTATCTAACTTCTTGTATATAATAATTGTATATATATATTTGTTAGAAAATTTTCAATTTAGTTTGTTTTTAATTGCTAATAATCCCAAAACTGTTAGACCTATTGCAGGAAAAAAAAAAAAAAAAAAAATAGTGATTAACTACATTCATGGTATTATAAAATAAGTGATAAAGATCAATGATATATTTTTTGTATGATATTGAATTAACTATTTTCTTATTGTATCCCTATTTGTGTTTTTTTTTTTCTCATTTTCAAATTTTGTTATTGATTTAATTTCCGACTACGTTACTGTAGATTAGATGATTAGATTCTATTATTAATATCCGCTTATTAAGTCACTCAATTTAAATAGTTATATACTATTAATTTACAAAGGACAGCTATTTAGATAATTTTCTAGGCAACGGTAAGGTTCCCCATTGGATTACTTTCCTTCGTACAGCTTAACAAAATCAAAATATACCAATGGTTATGGTCCACGTGTTTCTCAATTTATCCCGTTGGATGTAATAGACCACATGTATAAGTCCAAAGTAGTCTAGATTCAACTTTACAATGAGTCACAAAAAAGAATGGAATCTCATTTTCGTGAAAATCATTCTGTTTTCAAAATTCAGTGATGAAGTAATCAGTGATGTCATTTGGTGTACGTGGCAATTAATCACATTTTTACGTAAAGGCAGCTTTATCAACAACCACATGATCGTTATCTATGATCACGCTCAAAGTCGTCCAACCTCAAATTGTGCTTGCTGCTCAAAATTTTTATATATATGAATGGACAAAGCTAAGTGATTGTTCAGGAGGATAAGGCAAGCGAATTCCGGAGTGGCCAAGCAGAAAACACACAGTCACACACACACCCACATATTATCTTTGAGATGGATCCAGTCTTGTATAAGGCTGCAATGGAAGGAGGTATCGAGGTTGTCGAGCAAATGGCTGATCAATTTGAAGTTCAGTTGACCCCCAACAGCAACACAGTCCTCCATGTCGCAGCTCACTTCGGCCAAACACAGTTTGTGGAGGAGGTATTGAAGAATTGCAGCCTATCACTGTTTTGTTCAGTGAATATTGAAGGTGAGACTTCACTTCACATTTCGGCAAGGGAAGGACACGCCGGCATAGTACGAGCACTCATTGGACATGGAAAGACACTCGAAAAGGATCTTGAAAGCGGCATTGGAGCTACCATGGAGATGCTGAGGACGAGGAATGTGGAGGGTGACACAGCCTTGTTTGAGGCTGTGCGAAACAATCATCCTGATGTGGTTGAGATTTTGACAAAAGAAGAATCTTGAAAAATTGCAATTCACCGGCTTACATTGGCCCAAATGAAAGAACAGCTTTATACGCCGCAATAATTTGTGACGACAAAGGTAGTTGCAACTTTATCTTGCATTCATTTTGTTTTTGCTTTAGTTAGAATAGAATACAAAAATGAAACCCAAATCAATGTCATATTAACACAAATATTGTGCCCAAGATTAGGCATGGATGTACTGTTGGCTGAGTGGAGACATCGGCTCTCACTGAAAAAAAAAATTTATTGCATTTTATTCCTTTAAATTTGAACTTTTTTGCATTTATACTCATAAAATTTTGAAATTATTCCTACTGAAATTACGAAAAAATCCCTATATATAAATCTCCCCTATATAAATTTCTAGATCCCTCTGTATAAATCCCCCCTATATGAATTTCTAGATCCGTCCCTGTCCGAGAATCCCGGTTTTTGGAATAATCATTCATATTTTTCATGACAACAACAAAAGTTTAAGAAATAAATAAAAAATAATTAATAAGTAATTAAAATGGAAAAAATATGGATACTGTTTTAGTTTTAATAATCATTCACATTTTTGTATATACAATGTTTTGTTTTCACTTTTGTTTCTCTTTTAGGATGCATAAAAATGTTACATGACTGGAAGCCCTCACTAATTAAGGAAGCAGATGTATGTGGGTGGAGACCACTCCACTATGCTGCATTCCTTGGCAATACAAGCAAGATTAAGCAACTACTTCTGCTAGATAAATCTGTGGCATACCTTGTTGCTGACAACGATAACAATAACACGACTCTTCACATAGCAGCCAGTCAAGGTCATATAGATGTCATGGAAGCTCTTCTACTAAGCTGTCCAGATTGCTGGGAGATGAAAAACAATAAAGACCAAAATATCCTTCATATTGCAATTGAGAATGATCAGGAAGAGGCGATAATCGAATTTATCTTAGCAAAGCCCTTTCGCAGCAGTCTTTTAAATCAAAAGGACATCGATGGAAACACTCCTCTTCATCTGCTTGCTGCCAAGTCCAGTAAGCACTACCTGTATGATCTCACAAAAAACCTCCGTAGAGTGGATAAAATGGTCTGCAACAAGAAAAACTTGACTTCATCAGCAGTAAGATATGGTGATCTGAATCCATACCAGGTAAGAAACTTCTTGTGATTTTTTTTTTTTTATTACATGGATACATGCCAAATATGCAGTAGAAAGAAAGAGACACTGCTATGATTTGCTAAAATATTATGAATTCTATATTTATTTTGACATTTTTAGTGCGTACTTTTGATAACTTAAATATTCTCAAATAAAAATATGAGTTCATAAATGCTAATATTTTTATTTTTCAATTGTTATATTTACAAATTCCATAGTTATTTAACTTATTTTTGTATAAATTATTAAAACACTTATCTATTTTCTTCCTACTAATTGTGTTTTGTTAAAATATTATATTTTTTTCATCAAGGTAAAAATAAATATCTTTCTCAAGGTGCAATCAAAGTAATCAAATTTTTATTTTTAAAAAATTAAAACAATTGTTGAATAAAATTGAATTTTTGAACAATGGTTTTTTTTTTTTTTTTTTTTTTTTTTTTTACAGCTTTTTTTTACCGATAACTTTGTTAGAAATTAAACTTGATTATATTTTTAAATGTCTTTGAAGGTCATGTGTGTTTTTTTTTATTTTGGTGTTTAATTTTATGTTTATGTGAGTTATTTGAATTAGTGGGAGATATGAGAGTTACAACTAGTAATGGTCATATTAATAGGAGTTATGCCTACTAAATGTTATGTTAGTGAGGTTTTAATTTTCATTTACATATAGTTGTTATATATATGTTTTGAAACTTATATAATCCCATATTTTTTTCTCATTTGATTATAATGTTGTGTGTGTAAGTAGGCCACTATTTCCAACAAACTTATGGCTTCCTTTTCTCTATACATTTTTTTTCTTCTTTTCCATCATTTTTCGATTTTTTTTTTGATATGTATACTAATAAAAATAATATAATAAAAAAATCATATTACAATATATTTTTAATTCAATTACATAGTATTAGTTCTGCCCCAATTGTGCACTGAGTTTCGGCCCCACGAAATCGAAATTTTTGGCTCTGCCCGACACTAGTTCTTGGATCAAGAGTGTGGTGACGATAAAATATTTTTGATAAGGTACGACTTCATCCGTAAAAGTGCCTTGTACTAAGTTGTGTCAATGGAGTTGCTCAAATTTTCGTGACTTGGATGATTAACAAATTTGGGTAATACATATATATATATATATAGATAGTCCTGCTGTACGTTTTAAAATTGATCAAAGAAGAAAACGCAGGTACGGATGATGGGTTGCAGAAACAAATTCAATTCCCGCAAAACAAATTCAATTTTGGCTAGGTTGGGTAGGACAGCTGCGGAGAACAATCTGGTAGTGGCTACACTTACAGCGACGGTATCCTTTGCAGCTGGTTTCACAGTACCAGGTGTCTATGATGGCAACGAAGGGCCAAATCAAGGCATGGCAGTCTTAACAAGACGAGCAGCCTTCAATGTATTTGTTCTGGCGGATGCTTTTGCTTTGATCTTCTCCGTTTCCACTGTATTGATCCACATATTTGCATCCTCTTATGAAGATAAGGACGACCGTATTATAGGCCTTGGCATGGCTTTTTATTTCATTTTATACGCTATGATAGCAATGGTGATCGCATTCATAACTGGCCTTTACGCGGTGTTGCCAAATTCATCGGCCATCGCTACATCTGTGGTCGTCATTTGTTCCGTCTACTGTTTATCTGCTCTTTATTATGCTTTTCTTCTGCCCCAGTTCGGGCATGAGTTAAGGATACAGTGGTTCAGGTCCACTTGTAAATTGAGGCGCCATTTCAGGCGTTAGATGAAGAAATATAAAAGTGATCTTGTTAGTATCAAATAATATTTTATAATATTTATTTAATAATTAATCATCCTTCTTGCATATAATTTTTTGTTATGTTTCTACTATTAGTTGTAATAAATTTATGAGGAACTCCCTTTTTAGGTTGAATTGGTTTATCTATTTCTCTTTTTTTTAGTTTTTTAATACATACTCTCTAGTAACATATTCAATAATATAAAAAACAAAATAGTCATAAACAAAATATAGTGGTTTATGATAACAAATAATAATAAGGCTATAGAATAAATTAAATTAAAGAACAATAAAATCCTACGTTAGAAAAGTTTGGCCCATGTTCCAACAAATTCTTAATTTGTTTATCCCTATTTTGTATTTTTTAATAAAGTTATGTCACCTACAAAAATTTATAAAATCTTAGAAGAGTCCCAATATAGCAAAATATGTGAGGGACTAAAGGCAATAGGAGATGGAGTGAGATAGGCAGTTCAGGTTGAGAGATGGACGAGTAAAAAAAAAAACATTTCTAATGAGAGAAGAAAAAAAATGTGAGATATAAAAAAATAAAAAAATAATAACAAAAACAATAAAAGTTAGTAATTTAATTAGAAATAGTAGAAAAGATAAAAAAAAAAAAAAAATTGAACAACATGGAAAGTTTTCTCAATTCCTAATACAATAATAATTCATTATATGTGTATTGAATATTAATACAACTAGTATAATGATAGAGTTGGGAAAAAATGTTTAATGAGGAGTGGAGTTAGAAATAAAATTTATGAATTTTAATAGAAAAGATAAGATAGTCGAATGAGAAGTTTTAAAATCAATTAAATTAGTTGGACCTAGAGGTGGTAAAATGGGTCACAACATATTAACTCGTCCATATTCGCCTTCTTTTTAATGATTTTGGATAAATCATATTTAAAATGTGTCAAAATTGGGTTAGATAATTTTTAATCACTTAATTTGAGGGTCAAAATGGGTTGAATATTTATATCATCACATAATAGACACACAACACACATCTATTCTATATTACACTCAACTCATTTATCTCTCTCTAAAATTCTCTCACTAACGATCCCCTCTCTCTAAATTTGTCTCTCATCAATCCCCTCTCTCTAAGTTTCTTTCTCTAGAAATTTCTTTTATTTCCTTCACTTCTCTCTCTAAAACGTGTCGATAAATATTGTTGAATTTCAAATTTTTTTTTATTTGTTATTAAATAAAATTTTAAAACCTTCCACAAAAAAATTTTAAAAATTAAAAATTAAAAAAAAAAAAGATATTAAAAATTAAAAACAATTAAAAATTTAAAAAAAAAATTAAAATTTAAAAAATTAAAAAATAATAATTAAAAATAATAATTAATGGATCCACGGATCATAACGGGTTGACCCTATACATTTTTCACCCGCCCATTTTCAATTCAACCCAAACCCGGCCCAACCCGCCCATTTGTCACCCCTAATTAAACCTAAGGATATACAGATGAACCCCGAGGGTTGCTCCATATACATGGTTTCTTTGAGGTTGCCGTGCAGGAAGGTGTTTTTACGTCCAGTTGGCGCAAATTCCATTTGAGTGAGAGAGATAAAGTTATTACAAGGTGGATGGTTATTGGTTTTACAACGGGGCCAAAATTTTCATCATAATCAACCTTGGAAACCTAAGTGAAGCCTTTTGCTACGAGGCAGGCTTTAAAACGATCAATCGAACTGTCCTCCCTATACTTGCTGTGATACACCGATTTGGACCCAACGACATTGCTATTAGTTGGTCTAGGAACAAGCTGTCATGCATGGTTGTCCCAACGGTTGTCCTTGAAAGCTATTTTCAAGGTCTTGGTTTTTATAGGCTGTAATGACCCGGTTATTTTCTTCCATTTTCTTTTTCCTGAAATTTTACAGATAAATTTTTTCCGTTTAATTTTCTTTTCCGAGTTCTGTTTCTCGTCACTTAGTGTCGTCTCGAGTGCTTGGAATTGGTTTTTGAGACTCTTTCATTCGGATTGACAACTTCCTTTGAGGACCGAATTATTTCCATATTTTCACTTTTTCGACACTATTCATCTTCGTTTTTTTCCCGTTTGTCACTTTGTTGGCACAACTTCACTTTTCGTGTTCGGTCTTGCTTCCACTTTTGCATGCATTCATGATTTATGATTTCTTAGAGATGTGTATTTTAACTTTCCTAGAAATGTATGTCATTTGTACACTTTCTTTCTTAGGGATATGGATGCACAATTCTTTGGTAATTATTCTAAACTTTTGAGATTATAGTGTAATTATATAAAATAATTATTTTTCGTCTTAGGGACCATTTTGAAATTCAATTTGGAAGATATTTTCAAAAAGGACCTTTTTGCAATTTCCGAAAAAGTGTGACAAGTGTCACATTCTCATTGGTCCACTTGTTGACATTTGTGTGGAAACACTTTGATGCCTTGGATGATGACACTTGGAAGGTGGAGATTCACCCACTTGTTGGCTTAGATAGTTGACAAGTGTAGGTTTAAGATTCAGCCTACGATTGAGCTTTGGATTTGTGACAAGTGTAGGCTCACAATTAAGTCTTGCAAGTGTGTGTGTGAGAGGTAGTGCAAGAACACCTAGTGAGTGAAGAATCCCACCACATTTAGTTTAGGATTTATGTTTTTATTTCATTCATCTCCTCCCTCTCTTGTAAAAAAAACCCTATCCACCATTAGAGAAGCTTGATGCTTAAGCTTTGACCTTGATTTTTGAGGCCTTTTCACTCACCTTAGACCATGAACCTTGAAACACATTTTGTTCCCCTCACTCTCCTCTTTATAACCCTAGAAGGGTTTACCATTTTGTGCTTGCTAGCCTTGGATTCAAGAGGGACAATCCTCTTGTGAGGTAGGGGTGTTATAATTTATTTTTCCAAGTGTTTTAATTGTTTTTGGTATGAAATACAAGTTATATGCATGTTTTATATTAATTTGAGAAATTAATGATCAATTGTAACTTGCATATAACTCACTTTGACTTGAAATATGGCATGGCCTTCACTTAATCTTTGATATATATTTATTTGGAACCATTTGAATGAGTTTTTAAATCTAGAGATTAAATGAATTTAATTTGATTTAATTTCTAGTTAATTGTACCTTACTTGTTTTCCAATTTTGACTTGATATATGGTGTGGCCATAACTTAATCCATGACATAGATCATTTGAATAATCTTTGAAATCTAGAGATTTAATTAAATTTCAATTAATTAAATTATACATGTTTATATCTTGTTCATTTTGTAAAATTGATGTAATATTTGCAATCACCATGGAATGGACATTCACATATATTATTTTGAGAATTTTTGGAAAACTTTGATTTCTAGAGAAATTAATTAATTAGGTTAATTAATTTCTACTTGGTGTCCTAATGAATTAGACATCTGTTTCATAGGGCTTTTGTCTTTTTATCATGTATCGTGACTTATTGTAACTTAGCTCCATTAATATAGTTAATGAACTTGCACCCTTACATTGGAATGATTTAATTTTTCATGTATTCCTTGGTAAATGATTAAATCATGTGTCTTATACTTGTGATATTCTCACATCAATTGATTTCATGTGCTATATATCCTAGTTTGTAGTCTATGTAAATGTACATTATGATTTTTTGACATTTCACATGTCATCATAGTTGAGGATTTAGGGCATGACTTGTGTGTTCTAAAATTTTGGTTGTGCATGACACGTGTTTAATGCATTACTTGTATCTTGATGCTATCTTGACTTGCACAACATGTTAATTTTGGAACTTGGGATATCAAATAAGAAGTGACATGACTAGGACTTGATTCTAATACAGGAGATAGAAAACTCCCTACACTATCGTGCGCACTAAGGGAAGGTACCCTTGAGTTAGTAGCCCTAAAGTGATCCCAAGACTAGGGGAAGGTACCCTTAGGTTAGTAGCCCTAAAGTGATCCCAAGAGAATGATTTTCTATCGTGCGCACTAGGGGAAGGTACCCTTGGGTTAGTAACCCCAAAGTGATCCCAAGACTAGGGGAAGGTACCCTTGGGTTTAGTAACCCTAAAGTGATTCCAAGAGAACGGTTTTAATTCAGGCGATATCCAAGTTTCCACATTGTTGATTTCACTCTTTAAATTTCAAGTCTTGCATTCCTTGAATATTTAAAGCTCTTTCGTGTTATAGGAAATGTTTCAACCTTGTTTAATTGCATTGATACTATGCCTTATCATTGATTTCACACCTTACCCTTGTCATGTTAATTGAATTGTTTCAATCTTGTTAATTTTCTTAGTTATCTTGTTTCATATTACTTTATGCTATCATGACTTAGGAATGATCCTCTACGTGTAACTTGACTTAGATTCTAGGTGGCATAGACCACAAGTAATGATTTATATCAACATGCAAATCTCTAAACCCTTAGATTTCAAGTGTTATCTCTTAAGATCTAAGAACCTTGTCATGTTATATGGAGCTCTTCCTACCTTATTTCAATGCCTAGACATTAGGCTCACTTCGTGTGTTTAGACTTCATTCATCATACTTGAAACTGTGCATTTGCTTCTTGTATCTAGATTCCATTTAGTATACTCGTGTCTTGTATACTTGTCTTGTGTGTTTCCGATCTCGTTTAGTATATCTGTGTTTTGCACACTTACCTCACATGTTTTCATCTTCATGTAGTACACTTATAACCGGCATGCATGTATGACATATATCTCATTTCAATTGCATGAGTAGCTTAGGATGATCCCTGACTCTAATCTTTGACATAGACGTTAAGTGGGATGACCCTTTTGAATCGTTTCATGCTAGTCTAAAAATCTGAAAGAAATCAAGTCGATGCATGCTCATTCTCTACGAGTAAACTTGTTTACTCACCCCGAAGTTACTGTGGGGCTGTTTCAGGTACGAAGACTTGGTTCTTGATGTTCACCAATTTGTGGATGACTTGTAGCCTTTAAGTTTCCATTTCATACAAATGTTGGCATGAAATACCTTTTTGTAGCTTTTTATGTCAAACTTGTATATTTGATTCCACGTATGTAATGTGTACATAAGTACACCTTTTACATTGTATTTTTCATGTATGAGATGAGGCCGAAGGCCAATGACATGTATCTTGTATTCTATGTAACTTTCAACTTCATGAAATATTATGAAAATATTGAAAAATCATAAGTAATTGTTTCACCATGGGTGCATCGGGTGTGGGAATTTCATTTTCATTCTTTCATAGGGTCTCATTAATCATATAGAAAGTGTGGCCTAGGGCCAAATGGTAATTT